GCACAGAATGTGATGACATTAAACACGCAGAAAATTAAGCGCACACACTATCGGCAGGAAATCATAAGAGCTCGGGCTGCTCTGAGAATACCATTGCTCGACGCAGTGGATGGTGGCAACCAACCAAGAGCCCAAGTTGCCACACCTAGATCGACAATAGTTTGTGGTCTTCCTTCCCTCCATAAAAACGTGCGTATTGGAATCCAGTGTAACAGTTATCAAGGCAAGTTCCATCGCGAATATTCTAAGCTCACAGGGAACCTGTTAAAGCTACACAATAATAAAACAGGTTCCCTGTGGTTTTGTTCAGTACGTATAGTCATCCCACTAGTAAATATTGTACAAGAACAATCGCAGGAGTGCGAAAGACTGGTGGCAATTCTTGAAGAAATGAGGAGCACCAAAAACGATTCATTTGCAGCAAGCGTGACCGTGAGCAAATCCCGGTAATTTCCATCCAGCGCCGCATTAAAATTGAGAAAGAAGGCTAGGCAGCGCGCTAAAGAGGCATCATCTGTGGCATTAAACGCCAACCCCCACAGTTGATCAAATATGCCTGAAACAACCACCGCCAGTCAGATTGCAATAAGCACGGTCAGGGCCTCGTCCAACCCTCCAAACGGTTCCGAAAATTCAGCAAGAGTTCGACACCAGTGGTGGTTGGAACTTGGTTGCTGCCAAAGGTGACCGCAAACCTAGCTCTTCGGCCACTCCCTCTGGACACAAATTTTTGAAGTAGACAAAGCTGTACCCAGACAGCTTTTATCGGCTGTAAACAGACCAGCTGGTCGTTTGACCTCAACCATAGTTGCACGAAGTATACCAGCGGTAATTTGCTTTAACGTTCCAAAATCAACGTCAAGTTTTTTAAAAGGAAAACAGTGATGACTTGAACCATTGGAACTTCATATGTGACATGACAGGTGTAGCTAAGCCCATCAATTTGACACGCGTTGCTCGTTACTCATACTCGCGGCATTGCGGTAAATCAAGAGTTCTCCGAGTTGGGTTGCCTTCTGCCAAATGAAGCAGAAGCTCGCCCTCGGAATGAATAATGTTCCATCCGCTTATTCCAGGATATTCCGTTAAGCGAGCGCAGACAAGCGAAGCAGCATTTAGATGAAAACCGTAAGGACTTCGTAGCCAGGACCATTCTTGTACACGGTGTTCCCGAGGATGGATGTCATGCTGAGCACGGCGCTACCACTCACAACGAAGAACAATGCCGGTACATTCGCCAGTCCCTCTCCCAAGAAAAGCTCATCCTGCAATCAATCTCAAGGCTGCACCGATCGCCATACGACAAGGGCTGGGTCCCGAGAATTATGAAAGTGGTCCTTAAATCTAGACAAATATCAGCAATGATAGTGGAAAGATGGTATGCCATCCGCAGCAGCCTTCCTTCCGAGATTTGGATCAAAGCAGCATCTGCTGAGCAAACACATGGGAGAAGCCACTTAGTCAGACCATGTAGCGACAAGAGTTCGGATAACTTCGATCAACTAGTCAACAAAACTATCAAAAACACCCCATACATTACATTCAAAGAGATAATGTTAGGAACCATGAATCGGTCACGTATGAGTTCGTCATCGCCGAAAGCAAAAAAAGCACTAGTGACCGACATTTCACCGTTTAGCACAACCCTTTATTCAAAACACGCATCCCATAATTCATTGCTAGAAGCAGAGAGACTTTCTTGCATGTACACTAAAGCTCAAATTCTCCTGAACAACCTTGCCCAACTGCAGATATGTCCAGTTTCACATGCCTAGGATTTCATTTTCGTTACGGAAACCTGGTTGCACTCAGAAATAAACGAAACCAAGGTCGCGATAAATGTTATGTCCCTTCTCCAAAACGATCAATATAGCAAAAGTTGGGATACTGTTATACTACCGCAACAACCTGCAGTATGAACCGTTGGCCAATCCGGAAACACTGCTAATAGACTCACTCTGCTGCAGTCTACGACTGAGACGCAACGACACTTTCCATTTGGCCGTCGATTATTGTCCCCCAATCTTCCCCTCAGAGATGGACTCTTGCCTAACATTATCCTTGGGAAGGGTCCTACGACGACGATACAGTCATGTCATCAAAGGCGACATTAATAATCGTGTTTTGGAAGTTCCGGTCCTCCCAATGAGGAGTTTAGGGCCGACCTACAAGGGTGTATTGCAGGCATTCCGCTCTTCAGACATGTCAGTTCACCCAGCCGATTCAGAGCTGAAAGCAAACCATCCGTGCTTAGTTTAGTGCTCAAGAATGAAGAGCTCTTGGTTGAGGATCCAATGATGGAGAGCCCTTTGTGGCGGATCCACCACGTAGCCATAATTTACGACTTCGTCTGTAATGTGGAAAATCCGGAAGAAAGTAGCAAAGCATTTCGAGTAATCACCCACTACGACAGAACTTGTTCGAGCTGCCATTTTGGCTTATTCGGACGACTGTTCCATTGACAGTGCTTTGTTGGATTTTACTAGCAAGTTCAGTGATCTGATTAGATCTGCATCGGTCAACAAGCCCCTTCGTTCTGCAAGAGCACAATCATTCATTCGGAGCACAGCCCAAAAACACAGGACAGTAAGCGACGCTGCGTGGCGTCTTTATAGTGCGAACTCTAGCCCTGACAGCTGGAGTAACTATGTCATGCATCGTAATCATTGTACCAAACTAGTGCGCGAGGACAAATTAGTACGCCCGCAGAGTCTAGCGGAAAAGTTTTGTGTCAACTAAAAGCCACTATACAGATATGTGAACTGCGTCCGGAAAGTGAAACGTGGTGTTCCACCACTACTATCAGCGGATGGATGTATTCAAACCGTCGAGGATGCAGGCAACGTTCTACGGCTACATTATGCCCCATTTTCCGACATGCTACCAGCATTTGTAACATACATCTCCCATTCTCCCAGATGACAGTATTTACACTCGTCACCTTTAGTTCTGTGAACATTTGCGGAAACTGCTGTCGGTGCGCCCCCATCGTTCCCTTGGATTTAACATCATTCTTCCGAAAGCGCTGGTGATGGCGGCAACGAGGATAGTCAAGTCATTAATCCGATTTTTTCAGAGATTCCTGCTTGAACTGCAGATCTTTAGCATGTGAAAGCAAGGCATCATTACCCCGTTTTTCAAAAGTGGTAGCCGTTCAGAGCGAGCTAACTATCGCCCAGTGATTCTTCTCCCGGTGCTCTCAAAGGTGACGGAATCGATCACAGCTGAGGCTGCAAGGGGCTACTTCGAAAGGTCTAACATCATAGCCCCTGATCAAGACATATTCTGTCAGGATCGGTCATGTACCACCAACCTACTGCGTGTCCGTGGCAGTTGGACCGAGATGGCCGACAGTTGGGCCGGCAATGATGTCAGCTACTTAGAATTTTCCAAAGCATTTGATAGAATAGACCACCGCATCCTGCTCTAAAAGCTGCTAGCGTACGTAGTTGGTAACCCTGTCCTTGCAGGTATCGGAAACTTCCTCTTTAAGCGGCACCATCAGGTACGAGTTTGAGGTTTAAATGCTGATGCAGCTGATGTAGACTGCGGTGTTCCACAACGGCCGCGGTAATGATTTTTCTTCAGTAACGATCTTGCGAGCGTCATCAAGTAAAATGTCTCGCTCTTTTGCCGATGATTTCAAGAAATTGCGGGCAATCTACTGTCACGAAGATCCCGATATGTTGCATTGAGTATTAGACTGCGCTTCTGAATGGTCGAAGGTAAGTCCACTTCCGTTTAACACCGAGAAGTGCAAAAGTGTGCATGCCGCCACAAACCTCCTACGCAAATAAGCTTGGAGACGACCTTCGGAAAACCGCCTTACAAGGGTGAGACCTTGAGGTGGTGATCCAAGACGACCGCGGCTGTTCGACGCAGTCCTTAAAGGCGTCCGAAACCGCGAACCCACATGTTAGTCTGTCATGGAGGGTGTTCGGACAGTTCGATCTCTCCATCTTCAACCAAACGCTCAGTGCATATGTGAGGCCCGTGTAGAGTACGCGAGCCAGACTCGAAAAGCTTAGTTAAAACGCGATTTTGTTGCACGGGAGACCGCATTACGACGGACAGCGAAAAAGGTGAAAGATTTGTCCCACCTGCATTACCGTAGGCGACGTAAAGCCCTGGGAATGTACAGTGGAAGATATCGCCGTCTACGAGCTGACCTCATCCTAGCGTTTCAGCTTTTGAAAAATCCCGGTCATGCTTGCAGACACCTCCTGAAGCTGAGCTGTTACGCAGAGTTAAGGGGTCATAAATTGAAACTTGTAACTTAAAACAGTCGGCTTGAATGCCGCCGGCATTATTTTGCCTCCAATTTTCCACTCCTTAAACGATCATTAGACTTTCGTCAACACCGCGCCCATGTTACTCATTTTTAACAAACGACTCGAAAATACTTTACGCGATTTAGATTGGTTGATCTGATTTCTACTCATCGAGTGACAACAAGATGCAGACAAACATTGTGCTCAACAACCCTACGAAATCGGGGTAAACGGATATGCCTATGTGTTAACGTGGATAATATGGTGAGTCCATAGATGCGAATAAGATCTGGTGATAAAATGTTGCTCAAACCACAAGCTGCTATATAGACCCTTAAAAAATTTTGCGGGATTAAGCGCGGAATTCCTGCCCTGTATGCGGTTTAGGGTAAACGACACAAAAGCGGGCCAGGGTTCTTGAACGATGATTAAGTGTACAATCACCTTACACCTTGCTTACGCACAGCATGCTGCCATTAGGCCTTAACCACATATCCTTTACAACTACAGTTATAATGAATCGGTTGATGTTCTTGTACGAGTACAGCTTCCCGGGCACGGATGGCATCCGCCAAAGTGAAAGCAATTATTTCCTTACAGCAATATGAAAAGTACAGTAAGAAGAAGACGTTGAGTAGGTCCAAGCATTTCGTGTTGTCCCATCAGTACTTATAACAACAACGGATGCGAAGCGATAGCAAATGGTGGATGTGAGCAAAAAAGAAGAAACAAACTTGAGGATTAATGGGTGAAAGCGATTTCTTAATGCTCATGGTCAAGAACAGAATGTCCACAAAGATAGACCAGCTACCATACTGCAGGGACATGTTTATGATATTTCGGCTTTCTGTCCATCTAAGCAGCATATGGCCCGGGTGGTTGAGCGCTTCAACAGTGTACATACCAACTTGCGCGTCACCTGCGAGGTAGAACGAGCAAATTGTCTGCCATTATTGGATCTTCTCATCAGTCGCAAAGATAACGGACATGTTAGAAGGTCCGTCTACCAAAAGTCAACATGGTCCGGTCAATACCTACATTTCAAAAAGTTTACACCAATGCGGTACAAGCGGACACTTGTGAAGACCTTACTTAGTCGTGCCCGACGACTATACCCGGCAAACTGTCTAAATGATGAACTGGAGCTAATTGCAATCACAACTCATGTCAAACTGTTACGTTCGAAGTTCTGTAGAGAAGCACAGCCAGCCACGAAGATTAAAGGACTTGGTACAGGAGGCAGTGAAGAAGAAAGTTTATGTCGACTTATCTTTCAAGGGTGATATCGCCACATTAAGGACCACTAAGCGCCTGATTGCTGCTGCACATAGAACATACTATGCTGCTCAGATCATCATCATCAATAGAACCAATAAATTGCTAATACCACTTTCGAAGGAAGCTTTGTCAATCGACGCCAGTTCTCAATGTGTATACCAATTTACATATGGCTGTGAAGCCAGTTACATTGGCAGGACTGATAGAGCACTGTCTTCCCGAATGAAGGAACACGTACCAAAGTGGATCCTGTGTGGGATAAACGAACAGCCTTTTCCAACCTGCGCCCAGTCGTTGCGTAAGCCGTCGGCATCCTCCATGGGTGAACACCTATTGATTACTGGTCACCGGATCCGGCTCCATACTTAGTTCGAAATTTTGCTGCGGCACTCTCATTCCACGATTCCTTCGTTGCGCTGACGCTATAGCGAGTAGCAGAAAGCAGCCTGTGCTGTGCATGCATAAACAGCTATTCGTCAGTCTCAAGCTTCCGTGGACATAAAGACCGAATCGCTTTCACACCCAGATCTCCAAGCTTGTTTCTTCTTTTCTGGTCACCTTCACCATTTGCTATTGTTTCGCATCGGTTGTTGTTATGAGTACTGACGAGACAACCCGAAATGATTGCATCTACCAAATGTCGTCTTCTTGCTGTACTTTTCTAATTCGCCAAAATGTCTTGAAAGTGGATGCCTTGAGTTTAGCTGAACCGTTAATAATAATTTTACAGCGATGGCTTAGCGAGATGTACGTCCCTACCGTGTGGAATCACGGGACCATCACTGCAATCCGTAAATTGGCTGTCGTGCGGAACTATCAAGTTATTGCCAGATAACACTACTTCCAGTGATCAAGATCACGGAGTCCATAGTGACTGAAGCCCTCATAAAATCTTTGATAGGTAACAAAAGTATCCTTCCGGAGCAGTACGGATTCCTCCAATATGAGTTTTGTATTGCTAACCTGTTGATAGCTTGTGTATGCTGGACGGAAGTTGTGGATGCTAGTGTAGGAGTACATGCCGCTTATCTGGACTTTTCAAGGACATTCAGCCACCTCGACCATAGCACCCTACTTCAGCACCCTACTTTTCACAATTTTGACATCGTGCTCACATACCGGGTGGCATAGGCGACTTTCTCGTTCAACATCACCTGAATGAGAGGCTTCGCAGCACCGTACCCCAACCTATCGAAGTCCAGTGCAGCGTACCTCAGGACTCGGTACTCTGTTCCCGCCTGTAACTTGTCTTCATAAACGATCTCGCGAGGGTGCTGTTTACAAACCTCCTAGTCTTTGCCGATGATCTAAAGTTAGCACTGCTGTCCGCATGTTGGAGGATCACACAGCCCTACAAGGTGATCTGGATAAAGCATAGACAAGTTTACTTTTTGGAACTTGTTACAGTTCAGCGCCCCCAAGTACATATTTCTCAGCACACACCACCAGAGTATTCACAACTACCGGCTAGATCCATAAATTCTACAGCGGGCTTCTCCTGTGTGCAATCTCCGCGTGTTCGTGCAAAATGACCTTAGTTGTTTGAAGCAGAACGAAAAGCTACGATAGAACGAAACCAGCCCTTCTGTCTCTTTGGTACAGCGTTCGGAAATTTCGACACCTCAGTCTTTCCGAAAATGCTTCGCGCGTACATGAGGTCGCACGCGGAGTACGCTATCCAAGCGTGAAAACCCTAGCAGAAGCACCACACCCGATACCGGGAAAGCAGGACGACGATGCACCTCGGATATTTGTCCCGCCTTCACTATCCAAACATGCGGTAAACTACAAAAAGGCACAATAGATGTTATCAACGTCTACGGCAAGGTTTCATAATGTTGTATCAAATATTACAAAACCACAAACACACAAACCACTCACTTTTAAACTCAGCCGACACACGTCCCTAAGTTGGCCACGCAATACAGCCGACTGGAATGTCGACGAAATGCTTTCTCCCTTCGAGTTGTTAAGCCCTGAAACGTCTTCCCGTAGCGAGTACTCAGTGCCCCCACCTTATCCTCATTCAAAACACTGCTTGACGATACCCAGACACTTTTGAACTGTATCCTACAGCCAATGACCATGATGACACTGGTGTAAAACAAACAATAGACGGTGTCATTACCATCCTAAACTCTAGGAAGAAGTACTCGCATATGTGCTACTTCAAACGCCTTCGTGAGCCGTGTATCCCAGACGATCGTTTACTGACACCGTTTATCGTAATTTAAAAAAATTGCACCATAACCATCTTACAGGACACGGCAAGTATTTGTTTTCATACCAGCCATAATCTATTTCACGTCATCCGCTACACAAAGCACTCCAGGCATATCCCCGAGCCTTTGCATCAATCCTTCTGAGAATTCTTACTGGACACGTTTAGACCAAATATTCGGTGGGACAATCGAAGGCACACAAAAGGCGTTCTAAGTGTGACCAGTTGGTAGAACTCTTCGTCAGACAGTCCAATCAGAGAGCGGAAGCAAAAGCATGTTATTTAAAAACCTAGGCTTTCGGCAAAACAAGCGAAGAGGAATGTAGGGATCGTAGCGTGTAATATACTCTTGTGAGCGAGCCGTTAAGCGGTGCATCTATTTATAGATCGAAGTGTTACATGCGCAAATTCGTTTTCTTTAACGTGGCTCCATCATTTCAAGTCTTGCTTCCCTCCAAATACTGTGTTACCCTATTCTACCATAAATCACATCTACCTGATGATGACTGAGGAAATCATCGCAAACTTATATTCTCAAAAAGTCTTAGGTAAAGTTATGTGACCTGTGGATAACTAGCTAGTCACTTTAAAGAGTGACGCAGATTTCCATCCGCCGATGCCTTCAAGGACTGCACAACACCGGCTTTGTCAGTTCACAGTAGCTAACGCTTCCCCCAGATAGACACTTCCTCATGTTATTCCAGATGTAGTGATTGCAGTTACTTGTTAGTAAGCGTTTGTCTATCTCCTCCGATCGTCTGCTATCAGTCTGGCACTGCTACTTCACCGTTTGCGCTGACATTGTATAGCCTTAAAATGGACAGGATATCGACTCCCTCTGCAATCCTGGTACACTAGTGTCATCATGGCCATGGATACGCCTTGTGTGCCTTAGTCTCTTAAGCAAACTGTCTACCTCACATTTTGTGGCGCACATTTGCACCAAGCGGCTGTCAGCAATTTTCCCTATAACCATCACCACGAATTGCTACACTGGTACCACATTCCCTAGACGTTGGTGCACAGGCTTCATTAGGACCCGTAGCACCAATCCGATAAGGCTGAAATATCAACAAAACTGCCGCAGTTAGCTCCTTATCGGTTAAGTCAATTACGCACACTAATTTGCCATGGAACCAAGTTGGTTCTACTGAGGTCTATTGAGTTGTGCATGTAATTCTATACGCGGAATTGTTGAGTTCTGAGTGAACTGAGGGAAAGTAGCGGCAAGAGCGAGTTCCGCAGGCAGCTGTTTATTCGTCACATTCAACAAATATAGTCTGCATGTCTCGCGTAGCAACCCAATAACACCTGACGCTTGACAGCCGTGTGCCGAGACACAGACAGCATACTTCCTAGGTAGATAATGGTTCATAGTGCCTCCCAACGACCAAATCTGATTACGACAACGTTCCGGTTCAGTCGTAACTCTGACTTTTACACAGTCTAGTGCACAACTGTGCAATGTTCACCGGTTCGTTTCGAGATTTTAGCTGCTGTATTCTGTTCAGTAATGCAAAAATTGGAGGCACCCTATTTCAGACCATAGCAACCTTGATCACATGTGACCATCTGCTGCTAGTCGGGTCAAGTGTTGTTTTCGGTCGCTAGGCAACCAACTTCGCAAATGTACCTGTCATTGAGAGTCAGTCGACGAACCGCTCCGAACACTGGTTTTCTCCACATTACCGTAAGAAGCGATAGTACTGTGTTTTGAACTGGCACTCACGTGAGGTTGAATTCAAACTACTGTGCATCCTTCTTATACACCAGGGCTAGTTCCGTTGCATGTGTTGGACCATATATTGCTGTCTAATGATGAAGTGGACAATGGTTTTTTAATTTGTGTGTGTTACTCTTGCTTACAAATAGTCTATGATGCGTCTGTGATAGGCATCATTGCTTTGCGTTTGTCTGGATAAGGTGTTGAGCTACACCAATAAGGTCAGACGTGCAAAAACCTGAATGTTATATTTGAATTCAGTGAAAACACCTAAACGTGTGTGGATTATGCTGACCAGTCTAGATCCATCACTATGCAATGGGGATCGCCTTCAACTGTTTTAAGCGGTGTGTGTCCGATCGGATTTGCATTTCTACCATTTGTTTTATTGCTTTTTTTCAGGAGGGTCCTATTCTGTTACGTTTGTTTCGCTCTTACGACGAGTCTCCCGATAGCACAGGTCCGCCTGCAACTTATCACTGGTCGCTACTTACGTTTGCTGTGGCCATCCTTGGATTCGTAGGGTTGGTGACTATCACCCCATAGTGGTTCATTCTCTGTCCAAGCTCATCAACTCTTCGATGAAATGTGCATTGTCATCAAGTACTCAAGCAGGGCAATCTCCTATTCTGTGCTTCCCATATGCCAAGTTCTTGCTTGATGGTGTAATACGCCCGGTAGGCTGCTTCTACTCCAATTATTGGGTGCTCACAATGATTAACACAGGGAGAAGAGCTAGATTGCGCAATGACAGCATTTCAATCGTTGTCTTCAGATGCAACGCAATATAGCCTAAAACACTGTGTAGCTTTATAGGGTGTTTGCATAGTAACACGGATAAGCAAAAAGAAAATTGGAGCGCCCAACGCAAACAGGTCCATGACAATTTACTTAGCTGTCGGAGTTCTTTCTGGGTGCGGAGCACTGGTCGTTTTACTCTTATCAGTAATGCTTGACGGATTGCCAACATTTTTGCACTCCTATTGTGCATTAATAGCTTGAATGAGCTGGTCGGGTCCACCGGATGATAAATCATGCCCGCGCTTAGAGACTGATGAGATGGGGTTCCTGTTCTTTGAGTGTTGTTTGATTAGCTTAAGCACCGTGTGGATGGTTCAGCGAGCTTTC